GAAATATGGTCTTTCACTGTATATTTCTCGGGAAAACGGGGCTTCGGAGGGGAGGGTCCTTAGTAACTTTTTTACAAATTGGGGAGCGTCAAACCTGTTTTATTCTCAACCGGGGGAGGGTCACAGTTTTATTGGCAAGGAAAAAATTACTCAATGTCGCTTCTATTTTGTATATACAAGCAAAGCTACCAATCAATATTAATCTAAATTATTTTACAGGTGTCGAAAAATTTATATATCAAAAAGCTATCTTCTCGCAATTAACATAATTGTCTCTCTCGACCCGTGTCCGCTTTAGCCCATATTTTGATGTTTCCGCGCGGGGCTCTGTGATTTATTGCTTTCAAAGCCTGGCGAACTTCCCGCTGGCCCTTTCTTTCAGTCACGAAACAGTGGCGAAATGGTTCCTTGTAAGGACAAGTGGTCCAAAAGGACAGGTAGAATTTTGGCAGAATACTGTTTGAGAATTCAGTATATTCGCCCTTTGGGTTCGGGAACCACCCTAGGTCTTCATCTTTCCACTTCTCTGGACTTGCGCTTTCACTTGTTCGATCCCGCAGCCGATGTGCCACCAACAGAGTCAGAGGAGTAGCGGGCATCCTTTTTAGAATGGCGAGTCGGCAAACAGCCACAATAGCCATAAGTTGATCCATCTGACCTCATGAAATCCTCGCATTCACCACAAGCACATTTCCCTCTTTCTATTCCTCGTACATCCTTGCCCATTTTCAAGTTTTCACCGTACAATCACACGCCACGTAATTTACTACTTTGTGCGGGGATGAACGCGGTTATATGAGTAACACTTCCAGTTTGTTATTTTCACTTCCGGTTACTTTTGTCTTGGATAGGTAGGGGGGGAGGGGAGGGTCATGTTTTTGTCTGGGTATTTCTGAAGGGTCATGCATTAACGCATTCCAAGAAGTGGGAGGGCCACGACTTTTTTCGCAAAAAATTCTAAAATACCCCTTTCTGACACTTTTGTGTCCAAGAAGTTAACGAAGATATAAAAGCTGCCACCGCAGAGGGGTAGACTTGAAACACGGTGTATTTCATATTAATGCTGAAAGATATCTGTTGTTCTTTGCAAAGTTTCGGAGCCATCGCGTTTGAAACGAAAACGTTACGACGAAAAGTTCGTCAAAGCTCAACCAGCCTATATTAGTTACGGAGCCACCTTAATCTCGGTTAGTAAGACGGAGTTAACCAGAATTTAGTTTCGTCTTTGGCGCAGGCTAGTAGAATTACCGTGAATATGTCATTTGTGTTTTTCTGGCATTTTGGTGTCTTAAGAAAATTTGGCCATCTGCACATATGTTGTTATGTATTGCAGGCAATATTCTTGATAAAATGATTAAACTATTTCATTTCCTCAAAATACAACCTCAACCATTATCCTCTGTATAATCTTGGCAGAACAATGACTGATGATATGCATCGAGGAGGTGGTGAATCATCTGGTACTGACAATCCAGGCGTTGATCCCTTGGGTGCAAGTGGTCTTGACCAAGGCTCAGTCAAAAACAACAGTCGTGGAACAGTTCCTGAACAGGGAGACCTTATCGTAAGTTAACTTTAATATTGTACGTTGTACTTACTATCTGTCTTCTCATTGGCTAAGAGCTTACAATTAATTTGGGAAATAACAGCAACCGCAAGATTAATAATTAGTTATCTCCTAGCAGATTAGTGATTAATCTTTAGGTTGCTCGCGCAATACATAAAGTCCGAGAGCAATGTCAAACTGTGTTGCACGTAATGCTGTGTTTGTCCTTATTTTCTTCAAAACAATGTATAATAAAACAATCATTAGCTTCGGTTTTTGTGACATCGAGAATTATCAAGGTCTCGGTAAGTGTTATCAGCCTCGGCCTTCGGCTTGGCTAATAACATTTACCTCGACGTTGATTGTTCCGAATATCACAAAAAACGTCATCCAATAATTGTACATTAAACAAGGAATGGGCAAGGAAGTGAACTTAAAAATGCTGTAGAAGTCCAAAAATAACAACCTCAAATCTCTCTGCGTCATTAGTGTTAAATTACTTCTCCCTTTGGCATGTGTGGCTGGCGACGACAAACAAGGAAATGAGGAACGAAACTTCCAGGAGAGTGTCGCAGCAGGTTAAGTTAGAGACTATTTTACGGGTCGCAAAAATGAAAACCATGGAAAACCAAAGGTGACAGTTAACGGTGATTTAATTGACCAAATACCAAAAGACCAAATGAAAAAAGTCAATTGACCGTAAACTCAAATAATAATAAAGGCGATGATACCAAGATAACGCGTAATCAACAAACTAAGCTTGAAAAAGGTAATATGACGTTTCTACTATTAGGTCGATTACAAGATGGAAAAAAGTATTTAAAAACTACATAACCTTCAATTAGACAATAATTCCATAAATCTGATCTTAATCCTAGTACTTTCAAACAAAATTGTGGGCGTCGCTCTAACAGGCGTTCAAATCCGCTCTTATCTCTTGAGACAATAATAAATCAATTAAACTTAAATCTGTATTGTACAGTAACATTCGTGTACTTTTGCCCACTACTAAACAACGGTAGTAAATCAATATAACGAAAAAAATCACTTACATAGCGGTCCCGCTTGTGCCAAAGGTTAAGAACAACCAAAACGATGTAACGACGCGAATCCTACTTGACTTCCTGCCCAAAAAGACGTTAACACGCGCTTTTATATCATCGTGGGGACGCCGAAATATCCCATTACAAAACTAATTGAAATAAGGTAAGCATTGTCACTACGCTAGTTACTAGGATCAAAGCACGAAACATAAGGAAATCAAAGAAAAGTATTGTTGTTATTTCTTGTCCTTTGCAGCATGGTTCCAGAGAAGGGGGAGGAATACGCTAGGGCTCAACCTCATCCCGGTCCCCAGGGCTTTTCCCTTAGAAAATGGGAGAGAAGGGAAAAACTTAATGTCGCATCTCACTCAACAATAATTTATTAAACTCAGTGTTTTAGGGTGTACGACGGAACAAGTGACCAGCCGATGCAAGGGCCTTTTCCAATCTCTCCCATTTTGTAAGGGAGAAACCCTGGGGACGAGGTTGGCTGGGGGTAGGATGATGGGATCATCAATTTTGAAGTGGAATCGACACCACAGTCTGACCTGCCTAACAAATTGTAAGCTGATCGTCTGGTGTGGTGTAATGCCGTCATGGCGTCATTAGCATTCTATCCACAGGCCTCGCCAGTTCTAGGCTCCATGGATAGCGCTCTGAGCGACAACGTGGCATGTATCCATACATAAACGGGAAAACGAGTGACCAGAAAATGATTTTGTGTATAAAGCGAAAAACACTCAAGTAGAGTCTCAGTAGCTTGTTAATCCCAATTTAAATTTTTTCCTGAAAACTCCCGTAATCCCGAGTGTCTTTATCCGCTAACTGTAATCGCAATCAATCATGATTTAAACCCGGAGCCTGGATAATTATGTTTTGCTCAGTCTCTTTTAATCCTCACAGTGCGAGGATACAGACACAGATGACACAGATGAGGATGTGAAGCCCCAGGAACCCCCTGATAATAATGGACAGGTACGTTAGATGTTCATCTATTTTCACTTGAGATTTGAGAACTTAAGCGTCATCACTTTGATTCAATTTAAAGGTAATTCTATTGATACAACTACTACTACTACTACTGCTGCTGCTGCTGCTACTGCCGCCGCCGCCGCCGCCGCCACCACCACCACGGTCCACCACCACCACTACTACTACCACTTGTACTACTACTTGTACTACTACTACTAGTATTACTAATGCTGCTGCTACTGATTAAGACTGAGAGTGATTAACGCTTAAAACGATTCTCTTGGCTCAAACCGGCTGGCGTTGACCAAATTTGGAAAATGGAAACACAAAGTACCTTTAAGGGATTAAATGCCAACCCGCAAAGAATGTACTCAATTACGGTTTGGTCTCTTACTCAGAGAAATTGTAGCGTTGGAAATGAATAATAGAGACTATCCAACGACGCGATGACAGTGAAAAAGTCGCTCAAAAGGTGATTTTACGCTCTTGCAGTCTTTATCGCAATTATTTCTTCCCGCTAACCCCCTGGAGTTGAATTCCTAGGATCTCTATCCAAGTTCAGGAAGAGATAGAAAATTGCGTCGTCGCCTGTTTACGTCCTTCATAAAACGTAAAATTGGGCAAATATAAGTTGTTGTTTTTCCTTCTAAAATTTTTTTTTTGTTCTCGTTGCCATAGCGTCGTCGGATCGTAAAGTCTCTAAGGGCCTCTTCACATGAGCCCGGTTGACCGGGATGAATTTCGCCTTGGGTTCATATGAGAAATTTCAGCCCGGTTTCCTAGATGAGAAAAGGTCAAAGATCCTTGGGACGAGTTCTGGAGCCAAATTCAAAGCAAACATGGCGAAACACAAAAAGGTCAACTTTCGACCCTATCATAGCTTCGGTAACTCTTGAAGCTGTTTCACTGCAGTTAAATGGGATGCTCTGATGTGTAAAATACAGTAGGCAATGCAAGACGATGCCATCTGGACCGGTAGCCGGGGTGAAGTGTTCATATGGCAAAATTTCCAGCCCGCTTACCGAGATCTCGGTTGGAAAAACCGAGTTCACGGGAACCGAGCCAGCCCGCCCTCTCATATAAACACATAGAAAATTTTACAAAGGATTAAGAGGTAAGGCAAGATCTCGGAAACCGGGCTAGCCCGGTCAACCGGGCCAATATGAAGAGGCCCTAATTCAGTTAAGTCGTAAGAAATACACTGATCAAAAAGAAGAAGTGTTTAGTTTGCAAGGGTAATTTTGAAATACAGTGTACTGTTAACACTGAAGTCGTGCAGTTATGAAGAACATGATATTTCTTGTTTATTTGTAAATGAAAATAGACTCAAAAATCAAAATTGATGACAGTTAACTTGATCTGATTATCTAACAGTCTATAAAAAAGCGTATTTACATATTTTTGCAACAATTAAATGTGCATATTCTTTGCAGTATCCCATGTATGTTTTCCATCTCTATGCTGATGAAAGTCTTGACTCCGTCAAGATCGTCACAGGGAAGCCCATGCTCCATGGTGGTCTCACAATGGCCCTTGAGCCTTGTTCAGAGGACAGGAAATATTGGAGGTCTCCTTATTTATTTATACTCCCAAATGAACAAGAGACATTTCGTTATCAGTATTTGGTGAAATACAGCAAGGGAATTGTGGATGCTGTCCGCGCATATGTGGCCGCCAAATTTACAGGAAAGAAGGATGAAAGGACAGTAAAGGAGACACGTGCACGTAAATTGAATAAGGGGATGCAGCAGTATGACATTTTTCGAAATCCCGATGATCATTCCAGAATGAGTTGCATTTTTCGGGGACAAACGTTCTTTATAAAACAGTTATGTCAGAAGCTCGAGAATGGTGGCGATCTCAAAGAATTACTCATGGAGTGTGAACACATAGGTTTTGGTCATCCATCCTATGAAATAGGAGACGTAAAAAAGTTTTTGAAGTGGTTTGAGGATGCGATCGGAAACTCTTGTACTCCTTATCAGGGCATCTTTTTCTGTTCACTTCTTGGCCAGCTAGTGGATCAAGGGCGTAACTGGCCAGCTCCATACACTTGCAATTTGCTAGGACGAGAGTTCGCTAACTCCATTTTGTTATCCTTTGACAGATGTCCTTATCTCGCATTACCTCAAAGAAGTGCCAGATTCATCGAAAAGGTAGCAGAAGAACTATTCAAAGCTGGATCTTCGAAAGGCTGCCTATTGTTTATTAAGTATTTCTGTAATCATCTAGATGCCAATTATGTAATGCAGGTGGTAGACAAACTTTCATTACAGGCGTACAGAGAGGACCATTTCCAAGAACATGTCTCTCTATTGTTAACCTCCCTCAAGAAACTGACAAACCGCGCCATTTGTACAGTGTATTCGTCCTATGTTGTGAAATCTTCCCCAACTATCCGGTGCCTCTGGAATCTCTATAACTCTTTCTCCCTCTGCTTCCCAGACTTGGTACAGAGCCTGACGAAAGATTTTTCGGAGATTTACGGCAAGTTCATTTCACGCAATCGTAGAAGAAAACCAGATCTTCTTGACCCCATATTTTGGTCTCAAGTACCAGAAAACCTGAAGAATGAACTAGCTAGCCCATTCTGCAACGCATTAGCCCATCACGTTCGTTTAGAAAATACATGGTCATGGTCACAAGAAAATCTTGTTAGATTGAAGGCTATTGCTGTTGATAGACGATTACATTTATCGGCTGACTTTCCTCATTTCGCAATGGGGATCATGACACACAAATGCAAAGAAGTAGTGTCCCTTCTCCCAGACCTTCTGAAGTCAAATACATACTGCTGTCTTTGGAGGAATGCCTTCACCTTTGAAGAAAAAAAGAATGTTTGCTATCACTGGCTAAAAACGTCCTGTGGAAATGAAACAAAGCCTAACGACAGGATCCTGGCTTTTGTGGAAGCATGTGAGTTGCTATGTACCACGGAGGCTTTGAAATCCGATAAAAATCTTTGTGAGGCTATACACAAGGAGGTGGATAATTTAGTTCTCAAGATGAATTTTCAGTCCATAATGATTGCTTTTCAAGATGGTCAGAATAGTTCCCCTGCCGTTCACGAAAACCTCATGTCACTTCTTAGAAGAGCAATAAAGCAGCAGAGTGGCACCGGAGACCGACGCTCAAGATTTAGACAGATGATTCGGATGCTTGGCTTTGATATTTCCAGGGAAAGAAAGAAGGGTCTTATCAAGGCAAAGATAACAAGGTGGGTAAAATACTTGTTCTATGTACTTTATTCCGCCTAGCCACCATGGCTGCTGAGACTGTGAGACTGAAATTATAACCATGTTGTGTTCTCATACTGTACAAAACCTTGAGTTTGGTCGTTTAGCGTTGTCTTTTAAGAACAATAGAGAATTGTATTTACCAACATGTTAACTCGCTGTTGTCGCTGCTGTTGCTTGACGATGAATAATATCAAACTCATCAATCTGCCATGGATAAGGGTTTGAAACCATCTTGTGTTTATTTATACATAACCGTAAAACTAAAACAGACAGGACAGGCCCACTTACAGCCCATGCAGAAAATGTAGTACAGTTAACGAATAAAAACTTAACATACCGACAGAAAATTAGGGCTAACTTTGAGAAACATCTCAACGAGCCGAGTAGCTAAATGGATAGGGCGATTTGATCTAAGTCTAGAGCACAGCTAAAAAGACTGTGTTAGGTTCTCTCTTTCACGGAAAACCCAATTCCGTTTTTAACTCAGTTCAGAAGGCGGATAACGCTGTCCTCCGGATAAAAGTCTGTTCAGTGGATGACGCAATTGGTTTTCTAACAATTGGTTTGTTCTATCCACTGGATAGTGATTTATCAGGTGGAGAGCGCTATCACTCTTTTACTGAACAACAGAGGCTGTCAACAAATTCATGTTGTTCACCTTATCTTAAATATTAGGGGCAAAGAAGAGGTTCTTTCGGCTATGTTGGATGACATGGCTATGCCAGATGAGAAAGAAACAGCGAAAATCTTCAATGCTATGATTTCTGACAGTGACGTTTGGCTACCTGTATTAAGCGCACTTCATCCTCAGAGCTCACTTATGGAACATCCCAAGGTTTTGACGGCCACAAATGCATTGCAGCAGTTATTCGTCCCTCGACAAAGGTCCCAGTTGCCTGTTGCCTTTTTTGTAGATATGAAGGACGAGACGCCCCGTGTCCTTGCAGAGTTTTGTGTCTTAAGTTCTTTCCTACACTCTGAAGATATAGAAAGGAACACAGATGACTGGATTGCAGACTTCTTAAAGGATAAAGAGACGGCACAATCCTTCTGTGATCAGTTCATTAAACTAGAGCAAACAATACGATTCCTTGAGAGAGTGACTATGGGCATTGTGGTGATGTCTGACGCACAGCTCCTAATCCGTGAAGTCAACAACAGGAAGAAAGTAAAGACTTCGACTACCCTTGAGGTTGCTCGTCATGGTAGCTACTGGGGATCACTGCGCAGTTTGATTGACTCAGAAAAGGCAATTGCATTGGCTCAGAAATCAGTTGTATTTACCAACATTGCACGTATGTGTATAATAGAGGGGATTGCAGGAAGTCAAACGCAAGTGGAGACGGCAGCTAGTGGTTCAGAATTTTGGCAGGAATCCAAGGCAGACGGTAGCACAGAAAATACAGCAGCCGAAATATTGGACCTTCTAAAAAGCAAAGGTTTGCCTAAGTTCGAAGAAGCGTGCAATAGCCTCTTTGTAACGAATAAAGATCTAAGAGTTGAGGAAGTGCAAATGCTCTTTAACGGAATTGTTGATGAAGGCGCCCTCAAAAAGGAATTAGAAGTGATCAGATCCCATTTTCCTATTTCGGCTTCTCATCGAAAGGAGAAAATGTTAATGAACGTCCTTCATTTTCCTCGCGTCAGTGCAAAAGCTGAGCAGCTGATGTCGGTATTTGCAGCCCTTGGTTATGAAGGTACCGGAGATGGCGATCCAGTGACTAAGGCCTTGGCAGAAGTCATCTCCTCCGCTCATAATACCGATATTACAGTCACGCGTCTCTCTGAAGTTGTTGAAGATACGGCAGTTACCACCATTGATCGCAAGCTTGATGAGAATTTGACAACAATCTTTAAAACACTTCAAGAATCTAGCGAGCTGATCTCCTTCATGAAAGAAACGGCTGGTGAAGACATCAGGATACTAATTGATGCTGTTGAAGAACATTCTGATCAATTCGTTTCGGAAGCTACTGTCTCGGATTTGATTGATGTTCATGGGTTTCTGCGAACCTTCTTACGAGAAGAGCCAAAAGATCCGTTGGTGCTCCTGGACACCGTTCAGAAATGTTACTCTAAGCTTGAGAAGAAAGTAGAAATGGCGGCCAAAATCAAAGAATGCGGCTGTAATGTCCACAGTTTGAGAGGCCTCTATATGAATGTTGCCAACCGAGGAGAAATGACAAAAGAAATTATCAGTAATGCAGTGCAGAAGGGGTGTTACCACATCAAGGCCAACTCAAATGGATCATATGACGTTCAACTTAGCTATCTTCGCCTAGAAGGTGACTCCAAAGAAACAAGCTACAACATGGCAGAGCTTCATGACCTTCGAAGTCGAGCTCTTCTTATTGTAAACACTGACAAAAAGCAAGAAAAGAAGAGAAAATCTGATGACTGTGATGCTACATCAGCGTCTCTGAACATGAACCTCTCTAAGTTTATTCAACAAGTTGAAACGATTACTGACATCCTCAACATGGTCACGTCATTGCGAGAGTCAGGCCACCCGCAATTTGATGAATCATTTCGGCATAAGGTTAATTCCTTTGAAGAAACTGTATCTCTGGCAAGTTCATTGGAAGAAAAGTTGAAAGAGTGGAAAAATTTCATGCATGATTTGCAAAAAGATCATTATTTCTTAAACTTCTTTCATCCTGACCAGCTTTGGATTCTAAGGAAATTTTTCTCCACACCCCTGTCCAAAACTAAAGCGGATGTCTCTTTGAGAAATCAAGTCCACAATCTGCTGCGATTTGTGGATCCCAGCATCCGTAACAAGGATCTTGATGAGTTTCATGGACTATACAAACAGCCTAAAGTAAACACTGGTCATGAAAATGATCTCCGCGCCATTGGAGAAGTTCTGGATGCCATATTCATTTCTCGTCCTACTTTAGGGATACAAAAAGCTAGCAAACATAACCTTCAAATTGCTGTCAAGCCGGGAGAATTGTTTGTGGCAGTCCTTGAAGAAAACAGTAAGCAGACAGCTCATGTTGTTATGTCTTTATTCAAACAAACAACAGGCTCGTATCCTCAACCTAGTCAGATTCTGTTCTGTCATTCTGAGACCTCTTGGGAAGAGGTTGAACGACTTCTAAAACGTGTGTTTGCCGCAAACGAGACTTCCATGACATTGAAGTTACACTGCCTGGCTAATGTAGAAAACTTGTCAAACGACATGCAGTTTGAACTTGTTTCCGCCATCAGAGCCTACCAACGGATGGCAAAAGGACGATACTTACTAAGCATAGTTTGCTGTGGAGGAATTCATCATCACATTGCCGATCAGTTTTCCTCATGCGCACACAACAATACTGGACTGACAGATAATCAAATGCGCATTGCATTCCAAAAAGACTTTCCAGACGTTTACATGGTCACCTCGGACCTTCCTGGGGTAGGGAAAACAGAATTCATACGTGAACATGCTGCTTCCAAACACAAGAGTATTTTAACAATTCCTATCAGTGGGCCCTTGTCTCGTAAAACTTTAGTAAAGGTATTGTGTGCTTTAAAGTTCCAGACATACGAGTGCATTCATTTTGATGTTGGCGAGGTAGACGACCCATCATTACTAGATACACTGATTTTCGAACTTGTGGTAGTTGGAATGGTGTCTTGTGGAACAGACCTCTTTCATCTTCCAACAAAGCATGTGTATATCGAAATTGCAAACACATTGAGGCACTGGTTGCAAGATTCCCTTCCTGTAACAAAATGTTTTTCCCCTAAGCATATTAAACTACATGGATACGAAGACCTTGTTGTCAGTCAGGAACCATTAAGCGCCTTGCAAGTGGTATGCCAATATCTTCATGCTTTCGAATGTGGAAAGTTAGAGAGCAGTGAGGTATGTCCTGGTCATCTGAAACCTCTGTCTTCAAATCGCTGCAAAGAACTCCTGTCAAAGCACTTCTCATCAAGTGGTGACCTATCATACAACATAATTGAGAGTTTTGTCAAGGTGTTTGCTAACCAGCTGTTGCAATTTTCTGAAAGTCCTTACTTCAAACCGCACAATTTGACACCTATGCTTGGGCCTTCACACGATGTCCGCAACTCCTTGTTCAAAGCCCTTTTGGAAGTGTCAAGGGAGTTTGCATCGCGCTCTGTTGTCACCTGTAAGAGTGTTCAGTCAGAAGCAATCTCCAAAGAAAAGGCCGTTGAGGTACTTAAGAATGTTCAGTTGCAGTCAGGGAATGTGGCTGAGAAAATGGTCGAACGCGTTGAAGGAATGATACAATGGGCCGATAACAACCACCTTGTGATTGTCTTCCACAGTCTTGAGGCCTTGACCATTTCGGCTCTGTATCGTGATCTGGCTTTGGTCCCTTCAAAAGTCCAAGAGCTTTTCAAAACACAAGCAGTGAAGGGAAAAGACATGGTTGACTTCACAAAGATGGATCAGAAAGAGCTCCAGCAAAGATTAGATCGAATTGTTCGAACTACTCCTAGGCAAAATGACGACAGCTTGCAGAGCCTGGACTATGCCCTTACCCCAGACAACATTCTCAAAATGGTTCTTATCATTCAACGCATACGAGCAGGAATTCCAGTCATTGTTATGGGGGAAACAGGATGTGGAAAGACAAGTCTTGTTAGATACCTTGCGAAGACATGTGGAGTACCTTTTCACGTTTTCAATTTTCATGCAGGTGTCGGAAAAGAAGAGCTCGGTTGTTTTGTTCTAAACATGGAAAAAGAAGCAGCAAAAGGCAAGGAAGTTTGGGTTTTTCTCGACGAGATTAACACTTGTGATTACCTTGGAACTATCAATGAGATGATTTGTCACCGTAGGTTTAAAGGCAAGCCTCTTCCATCAAACCTGGTCTTTATAGCCGCCTGCAATCCGTACCGCCTCCGTCCACCCGGAAAAATTACAACCGCCGGTTTAAATGGAAAGACAATTTCGGATGAATTCTCAAGGCTGGTGTATCGTGTCCATCCATTACCAGAAACAATGATCGACTTTGTCTGGGATTATGGATCACTAAGTAAAAAGGATGAACGTGCCTACATATGTCGCATGGTGGAGGGAATCACTGGAAACCCCGACAAGTTACTGGTTGATCTTTTGTGTACATCCCAAGACTACATCCGAGACGTCGACAAAAGCCCTTACTGTGTAAGCTTGAGAGATGTCCACCGATGTATTGTCCTTGTTAAATGGTTTAAGAAAATCTTACAGCAGCGGCAGCAACTGCTGTCTTCAAAAATAAAGGAGAGTTCTAAATACTACAAAGAGGCTCACAGCTTTTTAGACCACGAGAAGTCCTTTGTGCTCGCCTTGGCTCACTGCTTTCAATCTCGTCTTCCCACCACAACCTCAAGAGTGCGATACCGTGAGAAAATTGTTGATTGCTTTCGAAACGACGGGAATGCTTTGTTTAGCGAATTTAGTTTTGAAGCCATTGTAAGAGCAGAGCAGGAAGACTACCTGGAACGAATGGAATTGCCAGAAGGAACAGCTAAAAATGCTGCCCTTCGGGAAAACGTGTTTGTAATGCTTGTCTGCATACTCAACCGTATTCCGGTTTTTGTTGTTGGCAAGCCTGGCTGTAGCAAATCTTTGTCTATGCAGATACTCCGGAGCAACCTAAGGGGGAAGGATGCGAAAGACCCTTTTCTTAAGTCCCTGCCACAACTCTATGTCGTTTCTCACCAAGGATCTGAATCATCAACATCAGATGGAATACTTAAGGTGTTTGATAAAGCGAAGAAGTACAAAGAACACAACAAATCTGGCGATATCCTTCCAGTTGTTCTTCTTGACGAAATAGGCTTGGCTGAGGTCTCCAAGTACAACCCCCTAAAAGTACTGCACAGTCTACTGGAGCCTGGTGACAGTATATTTCCAGATGTCGCTGTCGTAGGCATTTCAAACTGGGCTTTGGACGCTGCAAAAATGAACCGTGCTATCCATCTTTCTCGACCTGAACCTGATGTTGAAGATTTGTTCGAGACTGGAAAATCATTGCGAGAAGCAGGCAGTGGCATCACTGAGTTACCTCGTACACGTTCAGGTCATCTGTTAAGTCAAGTAGCCTATCCAGATGACAAGCATCTGCATTGCCTTGCTGAAGCCTATCACATGTACCAATCACAGCAACGATATGAGAATTTTCATGGGCTACGTGACTATTACAGCTTAATAAAGTGTCTAAGTACAGACCTGAATGTAGAATACACTCAAGTGGGTGCTGAGGAGAAAACCAAGGAAATTCAGCGAGCGTTGCAAAGGAATTTTGGCGGCGTACGTAACGACGTAAAGAATTTTCAAAGTTTGTTTCAAGAGCGAATCCAGCTGCTGGAAGTAATGGATCAAGACTACCAGTTTCCAGTAACCGAGCTCATTTGTGACAATCTACGTGACCAGCGTGCCCGTCACTTGATGATAATCACAAACGGAGATTCTGCGATAGGCATACTTGATCAGACGCTCCAGCATCTTGATAAAGAGAAGATCACTATTTTTGGCAGCCGTTTTGAAGAAGATCTCTCAGAAGAGTATAATTACCGTATCTTAAGTCGCATCATTCTTTGCATGGAGAGGGACTGTGTTCTCATCTTGCGAGATCTAGAGGGTATCTACGGCAGTCTTTACGACATGCTTAATCAGAACTATACAGTCGTTGGAGGGAAGAGGAACTGCCGTGTCGCCCTTGGAGCCTTTAGCAATCCGATGTGTCAGGTCCATGATGGCTTTCGCTGTGTTGTGTTGATTGACCAAGGAAGAGTTGATTTCACAGATCCTCCTTTTCTTAATCGATTCGAGAAGCAGTTGCTCCGTTTTTCAGATGTCTTAAACGAAGAGCAAAGAAAAATCATCACACATCTGAAAGAGTGGGTGACACGCATCTCAAAGATTCCCGATTTTGAGTCCCAGTTTCACGAAGAAGACATGTTCATTGGATTTTGTGATGACACTCTTCCCTCGCTTGTCCTTAAAAACAGTCGCGACACAGAGGGGGAAAGTTTTGAAATTATTGAGCAGTGCAAAAAGGATCTGATGATGGTAGCGTCCTCTGATGGTGTCGTAAGGAGTTTACAATCTGCACTGGCTAAGACAAATTTGGAGGAGGTTCAGATACTTTACAGCAACTATTTTCAGAAGCCTATACACAACGGTTTCAGGCATTACCTACAACAGGCGTTAGAAACTCTACAACTTGATTGTGAGAGTGACGATTCCATAAAGGGCATGCAAATGGTGATAATGACTCACAGCAACATTCATGTGAATGCATCGCAATGCCTTGATGGGTTAATCCAGTGCCAGTCAGAAAAGCTAAGCGCTTTTAAGTCTGAAAAGCAGTTGACAAAGGAGTTGGAACGATTCTGGGGATCCAGCGACTCGCTCTTGGTACTACAATGCAAACCAGAGCTCGATGCTTCCCACTTGCTACTTGCAAAATCCATTATTGAGCAGCAAAGGGAGACATATCTCAAACGAACAATCCACACGAACGAGTCGCGAGTCAAACATATTTGCTTTGTAATACATGTTCAGAGGGAAAGTGAGGCCAATAAAGTGGAAAATCAACGCTGGCAATTCAGTTTTCAAAGCGGATGGAAGCAAGTGACGATTGATGTATTGGAAGAACCAGTTTTGCCTGTTACGGAGTGTTTAGACATCAGCGTCATCGAGCTCCTAGAGTCAAAGACGCTCCCATTTGAGGACGTGGCTTCGAATCAGTTCCTGTGGTGCTTTTTTCGCATCAAATATGCGCCCTCTGTCCAACCTGGATGGGATGAAATTCTTCAGCTGGAAGATCTATTGAGATCATCGCCCAAAATCCTGGCATGTTTCAAAGAGCTAGTAAATCGTTGGCTGCAAAAGAGAGATACCGTCAATACACATGGAGAAGATCTTCCAAGTTGGCAGTACTTCGTGGCATGTGATCGGCAGGCGTTGATTAATTCGTCCCATTTAGCGGGAGCTATTCACCACCATGTAAGTCATCTCATACGTCAACCACTGGCAAAGATTGTCTACTTCTTGGAGAACGAGTCTGCCTGGCCTTGGTTCCTGTTAAAACAAAATTATTTGCACGAGGAGGAACTACAAGTATGGCTGGAATTGATAATGGATCAGAACATTCTTAACATTGATGATATCCCTGACCATCAAGGGGCAGAGTCCTATTTCATTTCCGAGCGGCATGTACAGCTGAAATTTCCCTTTTTCTCCGTACTTTATAAAAACGTTGAAAAAGTGCAATCTATGTTTGTTAAAGACCAAAGACAGCTTCTCTTGGACGGGACGGGCTTAGACGACAATGCTGAATTGAGCGATGCTGTAGAAGAGCCTCAGCTACATCGATTTGCTTCCGTTGTAAAGGAGAAAGTCCCTCAAGTATTTGAGATCGACTATCTTCAAAGTCGCATTCAATGCTACGCCGAGGATTTTCTCGACATGAAATCAGCTCTCTTTTCGAATTTTTTATCCCGAGACGAAAGAATTGACTTCTTAAAGTCTGCAATGGCAAACCACGTAAAGTTCTCCATTAAAGGCGATCCCGCTCTTCTGATCACTCGGCTGCATTCACTATTCTGGCAGAACGGACCCTCCTACGTGACAGCCCTTCAGGTGTTCGTGACGTGTTACGAGGTTGCGAATGTGGAATTCGCGCGGCTAGTCTCTGAGTTTACTCCTATGTTTGACAAAATGCTGTTTCAGGATACCAATGAAGTACAAAACGCACCGTTTGAAGATTCTCACGAACTTGAGAGAAATCAGTCCTTTGATGAAAACCACGCTGAAGATGTTTGTGCGACGGTGGAAGACGGCTACGAAGACCAGAAAGGGGAGATCAGTAGTGAAACATTAACCACAGAGAACGAGAAAATACTTCAAAAAGAGCAACACGACAACAAAATGAAGGCGGTGGAAGAAATCGGCTCACAGATTCAGGAAAGAAAGGAAAATGCCAATGAAACTGAAAATCAAGGGGTTCAGGATCCTAAAGACGAAGATGTAACACAGACAACGGGGCGATATAATTCATTGTTAGACGACAGTGAAAATGACGCTTGGGAACGTGAAAATGTGGGTGGAGAAAATGACGTAACTGTTGTAGAGGAAGAGAGCACCGAATTGGAACCACAAGTTGTAGGAGGAAATACACGTGGAAATAAGCGCAATGATGATCAGAGCAATATTACAGAAGACATTGTAGACAACAATGATAAAACACGCGAAGAGGGAATCACTGAAACACCCATCGCGGAAAAAGTAGAGGAGATTGCATCAGACCATGACGAATCGGAGGACGATGACATAGGCACGTTGTCAGAAGACAGTGGCGCCGAAGGAAGTGTGACCTTCGACGAAGTATTGCTAGCGTCACTCTGTTCTGCGTTACTTCCCACGGACGAGGTCGTGAAGAACTTAAAAGGCCCTGACGGGTGGCAACGAAAGACAAGTCTCTTTCTGTCAACAGCGAGCAGAATTCACGTTCAGATTCCTGCATTTCATTTCCTTCGTGTTTGCTACGACTTTGTTACACTTTTGGTGCTACCAGAAGGTCTTGAGCCATATTTCCTTTATATGCTTGGAGCACTTGGAAAAACGGGAGCTTCTGAGGGCTATCTCGATTCCCCAGACACTTTTGATCGTATCACTAATGTCATTGACGAGTTGGAGCAAAGAGGCGTTGAAAAGAGACGCCTGGAAGACTTTCTGATGCTTTTCTATGGACGTTGCATCGATTCAAATCCAGACACACCAGTACTTGGTACCATACTCGCAAAGATCAGTTCTAGTGGAGAGAAAACACTTCTACGGTTTGCTGGACCGTTGCTGCACCGTATTTTTCTCACAGAAGAAAACTATAGCCCTGGTGTCTTCCAACACCTCTTGCACAGCTTGGACACCATCAAAGATTATCCAGGCCTCCAAGAGACAAGTGCTGCTTTGTCAACACTATCCAATGATTTTGTTGAGTTAGACTCCCCTTTCGCCGTGGTGTGTTGTGATCTTATTAGTGAGGTTGCGTTCCCAGAAGTAGACTTAACTACGCAATCAAAGGATCAAATTCTCGTTAATTTTCACAAGGCCTTTCAAACGGTAACAGAAACTTGGGAAGACGCTGATAACGGATTGTTTCATCTCCTTTGTGCCACCGCTTACATCAGGTCATTCCTGGCATCATTTGCAAAGTTTATTTTGGACAGGCGCCAGTGCCTTACTGAAGATGGGGAGTTTACGATGCTTTTGAATGAAATAAATGCAGCCCTTTCCTGTAATCAACCCGATCCTGTTTCTTCTAGGGCGCGAGAGGTACAGCTGTACCTCTTAAAGGAATTGAAGAAAGAGCTCTACATGTGGCAAGTGCGTGACGTCTGCCAACACTGTCCAAAACTTCCAGCGTTGAAGAATTTAGACTGGCATGATGAAGCCCTGGTTGGCAAACTTAGTTTTGATCCTCTGCGAAACTATACAGAGACGTCCCAAGCACAAGCAGCGTTAGCAACTCTTCTCGAGAAGAACAACCTAAAGCCCCTTGAAGATACCATTCTTGCTATGTCAAGTTCACCAGAAAAGAGAATGGAGATGGCGGCCACCCTTGCCAAGTCGTTTTACCTTATTCGTTCTATACAATCTCTAAAGGACAGTGAAGACAAATCAATAAACTCCTTTATAAGGAAACTTGAGAACTTTGAAAATCCCTATGTCCAGCTCCTCCTGAGAATTACGGGAAGGAAGGATTTCAAAAGTCAAAGACTTTGTATTTCTTCAGAGTCTTCACCCGCTGACGTGCATAGGGCAACACTAATCCTGCATCTTTGCATAGTTCTAGCCTCTCATTTCAGTGGTCTTAAGCAGAAAAAGCTGGCATTTATGTCGTACTTTACTAGTCCTTTGACCTCAAGCAATACATACGTGCTAGCGTCTGGAGAGGGTTGTCAGCAGCCATATGAGGTACATCGCAATTACAGGTTCGGTGAAACATCGTTTTTCCGTTGCTCCTGTAGAACATTCTTTGTTGCTGCTAGTGATGATGATGATGATGATGATGATGAAACAAAGTGTCCCAACTGCAATTCACTTTGCAAAGCTGAGAAAGTACCTAGCAAGAATACTGCTGCTGTTAAAGCCCTACAGCCATCTACCGTTTATGTCTGTCTCACATGTCCTCAAGATCTTTTAATTCACGTACGGCAGATGGATTCAAGAGAATTTCGAGTTCTCCACTTGTTCGTTCATGCAGCACTTTACGGAGGCTTCGCGATGGAGTTGTTTGATGAAAATAGTCTGGCCCAAATACTGGGCAATGCTGTTACGGAGAGTGATGCTTTCGAAGTGTGCTTCCAACAGATTGATAATGACCTAAGAGCGTTATGTCTTCTTCTAGACGCTAAGGAAGAATATGTCATCGGTTTCTTGCACTCTGCTTTGCACGAAAGTATTTCCATCCTTACTTCCGGAGGTCTATGTCAAACAGAAGGAGAGAGGTTGTCATGGGAAAACACGTTTGCTGAAACCGTACGCCCTTTACTCCGAGAGTTTTACCAAAGGAAACTTTTGGCAAGTTCGCAAGTCTTCATGAGCAAGTCTACACCGGCTGTTGAAAGAAGGATAGAGGAAGTTGATGACCCCCAGTTTTCAGACACCGCAGAGAGAAACCTGCACCTTCCTAGGTTGTTGCGTGTCACGCTGCCTAAAACTTTCTCGTCCCTCAGAGCGTATTACATGTCAGCTGATCACAATACTAAGAACCAACATCCCCTTCTTGGGTTATTCCTGGATTTTAACGACTCTCTTCCAAATGTTGCAAGCCTCCACGATCTCCTTTCCTGGAGTCGTATTGTGGACTTACTTCTAAGTAGACGTCTGAGTCGACAGGACGCCACCACAAATATCGGAGATATCATTCGAAAAAAATCCAAATCTCCTGAAGAGAGAAAGCGATTAAATGAGATCTTCGAGAAGTTCAGCATGGCATGGGAGAAGATGCTTCCTTTTGTCAGGGACCGTTTAAAACAGGATGTGCCATACCTGAGCGAAAGCTCACCGATTTCATTTTGCTTGATTGAGAAAAGAGGCCAGGGTACCTTTCTTTGTGCTGCCATGGAAATACTTCGGGAGATCCAGAATGGTTTCTTGCAGAAGATGCTCAGTATTGCATCAACAGGAAAATGTTCTGCGCTAGTCTTTCTAGAGAGAGAAGAAGGAAAATTCTCTATTCCAGTTGTCCACTTACAGGAAGCCCGGGAAAAAGAAATTATCCAGTATCAATGGACAGATGAAATTTTAAGGCATTCTCAACGTAACACCGAGTACGGCCATGGCAGGGAGATCTTTTTTGATCTTGAGAAGATTGAAAAAGAGATGGCAGTCAGATTTTTGGTGGAAAAGTCTTACCTTTCAACTCTCGAGGGATTACAAGAGTTCATTTTCGCCGGAGAGCTCTTTCATACTTGTAGAGACATTCTGGACGAATTACAAGAGCTCATTCCGCAGCAACCACTTACAGATGTGTTTAGACGTAGTCTGTCGAGTCAGTGTGAGCAGAGTCTGAAGAACGTACAAGATTTGCTTGAGCACTTGGAAATTGTCCTTTGCCTGTTAAAAAGACATCGCGTTGGGAAACCAGAGGACCCTTTGACAGAATTCACAGACAAGTGGGTGCGTGGACCAAGGCCGTTTCCAAAGGATTTACTCCCTCAGCCCCACAGCGCCATCCAGCTCACACATGTAGTTGCCTTGTACGAGTTTCTCGAAGACATTTTGGCTGATTCAGTTGCCAAACGAGTTCACGACACGTATCGTGTTCCCATACCTAAAGAGATAACTAACGAAATGACCAAGGGAACCCCCGCGTCTGGAACAACTGAGTCACGTCGTTCTGTCATAAATGCCATCACTGTAGCGCTCAAACGCTTCATTTACCGTTATCTTTCTTCTGAGGAAATGAAACCTGAACCAGCTGACAGTCTGGAGGAGCGCATGCAGGAGAGGTCGCTTTGGCCAATCGATGCGTTCAAGTCGTGGAACCTGAAAGAGGAATCTCCAGCAAAATTTATCGGTGCCGTGTTTCCCGAGAAGCTGGCCATAAAACATACGTACCAGGTTTTATGCTTTTACCAGGATCGACTTAAGGTAAGCGAGGAAAAGTGAACTTGTCATTAATTTGCAATAATTCTCTCCTCAACACATTTTAAAGTTGGAATTCTCTGAACCTTCCCTCCCCCCCCAAAAAAAAAAAATTAAAGAACTTTAACTCTTACATATCCTGCCTTTTTGACTGCTAAGACCCTAGTTTCTTTTAATCTTGACAATATGTCAAAGAGTTTTTCTGTGCGTTTCGCATCTTTCGTCATTGCTTTAGGTCGCATGTAGACCATGCGACTTTTTGTCGACTGTGACCCCTCCCGCCCCCCATTCTCCAGGTGGAACGCAAATGTGTATGAACTGTATAGGTAAACAAACGGGCACACGCTTCTTTGTCTATTTGAAAGATTCTGCGTTAGTTATTTAAACGGAGTTTAGCCCGTATTTAACAAAACCGCGTTCTAAGCCGTTTCTAGTTTGCCCAACGCTTTTATCTAAACATAAGCAACTAAGAAAGGGATCTGGAAGTCCAATGATTTCTTAGACCGCGGTCTAAGTTAGACTTTGTTTGAATAACCGACCCTTTGTATCTTAAAACTGCACTTTTGAGAAAACAAATGAAAACAAATGCCACGCAGCTAATCAGAGAAACTCCGCTAACCGTCTTTAAATTGAAATGTGACATCTAAAACTGAAACCTGGCCATACAGTACTTACAGTCTGATGATCGCCAGTGCTTGAAACTCGAGTTACAAGATTTATCCTTAAATTTGTATTTTATGGGCATGTATTTTCTATATGTTGTGTTTTTCACTTTGTTATTTGTTAGGTGTTAGAAGAGGCAAAACACGTTCCTCGGAATCCAGCTCCCAAGATCAGCCGTCCCAGTGTTTCAAGGTCCCGTCAGCATAAAACTCGAAAGCACTTCAGCAGCATCTGAAGTGGACAGGAAATACCCTGTGGTTATTATACACAGTTTTAGCAGATCATCAAGTTTTACTACAGAATTCCTCTAAGGAAATGAATCAAACATTCTGGGGCGGATGTAGGGTTAGGTCGAACCCCTAAGAAGAAACTGTGGACGTCTAAAATTTGTGAGGGCTAATAATTAACAATTTCGCGCGGGAGCATAACTCTGGATCCCCCTAGATACTCCAGCTTTCAGAGATTAGTTAATCGAGCCCCTTAAGAATATATACTAGATCCGCCCCAGACATTACTATTGTAAATTGCTTGTACTCTTTGACTTTATTTTTGTTATGCATATTTTTTCACTGTTTTGTAGGGATACCGTAAATCTTTTGAAAATCCAGTCGCTCGAATCAGTGCGCTTACACTTTCCCTAAACATAAAAAGTTACTTCGCCCCTGACCCATTCCTCCTCACCCACTCGGCCTTTGTACGGGCCCATTTCGCAAACATAATTCTTCCCTTTTTGAACCACTCGTTTGTGCAAGATCGTTTAAATAAGACTAATACAATTTTTTTTCTGTGAAATATGGAAAAACTACATAATCGCCTTCACCTTGTCTTGTGTAAGGTTGTTTACACCCTGTCTATTTTCCCAACGCAAATAAGAATTAACTCAAAACAAAGGGGCGAGGGAGGCGAGCGCAACCAGGAAGACTTTTCGGTCTTCGTAAAAATGCGAAAATATAGAGGAATTTTAGGGCATTTAGTCGATGATTTACGGTAGTAGGAATAGTAAGGGTTGCTTTTCATTAGGGAGATGCTGTTTGCTTCTATTGTTTTCTTAAACAAGAACGACCCTCTTTGCTTCCACTTTCCACATGCAAGTCTTTTTCCTTTTTCTGTGATCTTTTCCTCATTTTCCCCGAGATCTTGAAGAGTCACAGGTGCCGTGAGCAGGCTATTAATAAGACGTCACTGCAGGGGCATTATTTCGATCCCAGTATAGATGGAAATTGTAAAACTGTCATCCCGCGAGAGCAGAGACCGGTACCTTTTTCGTTTACGAGTGAAGATTTTATAAGACTAGAGAGAGAGTTCCCTTAAGAGCTACAGTAAAGCGGGCAGCAAAAAAACCGGGATACTTGTTTAGCAGCATTACCGCAAAACGAGTCGAACAACGATGTTGCTTGTTTTACCACCCACGAAAACAAACGTTGCAACCTTATTTGTTGCAAGACGGGTGTTACAAAATAAGTTGTACAACTTTTGCTACCCGTTTTACCGAACCTTTACTGGGGTGCGTGATCGCGCAAATGATATTTTAGGGAACAAGAAGCAGTAAGAACTAGATTTCCTACTAGCAAATTTAGCTTTTTTGAAGTGTTCAAAAGCGTTTTTTCCAGTTGTGTTACGGAACATAATGCAGTCTTCCCATAGTTAGAAGTGGAGAATGGTTATGAAAGTCGGCAAACATCATCAAGGATAAAAGCAACAGTGCTGTAGTTCATGTTGGCAACTCCCTGACGGTGCACAGTCTTTTTTGTTCATAAATTAATTGTGACGGAATAAATTACTGCCACGTTTTTATTTGTCAGTAAGATCAAAATGATAGCAACGTTTTACACCGACTAGACCACCACAAAAATATATAAAAAAAGGAGTTTGATTGTCTTCATAACCATTCGACTCTACTAACTATGGTCTTACCGAAAATATTTTGGGGTTTATCAGACGGAGTCTTTTCCAGTACCAACAGGATTCGTAGCCGATACTTAAGTACGATATAAGCCAACAATATACATTTTACTATTAATCATTAAGTGAAATTTCAGTGTTAGCCTTACGTTAATTTTTAAGCATTTGCGAATCCTACTTTGGCCAGCCAATTTCATAGTTGGCTATGCACATTATTCCAGAATGGTGACAAATCATTCTTTTGTGTTCATTATAGTCTACCAACAGGATTTGCAGCCGATACTTAAGTACGATGTACGCCAACAATATACATGTTACTATTAATCATTAAGTGAAATTTCAGTGTTAGCCTTACGTTAATTTTTAAGCATTTGCAAATCCTTCTTTGGCCAGCCAATTTTATGGTTGGCTATGCACATTATTCCAGAATGGTGACGAATCATTCTTTTGTGTTCATTATAGTCTATCCTCAGTGCCTAGTTTCAGGGGAAAGATATTTTGAATTCGGCAGATGCAATTGAGGCAAAGATGATCAACATAAGTATGAAATAAATTAAAGTAACATTGTTATCATTTTGGATTAAGGTGTATGCTTTGGCCTTCCAAGCTTTATCTTCAGCAATTTTTTAGATACGCAAGTTGAGTATTGTTTTGATTAAACGATGTAGTCCAGTGGAGTGAAGTGGTGGAGAATTTTTGTTTGCTATGTCATATTTAGTTTAGTTGACAACAGAAGTGAGCCGATTTGCGGACTCGAACTTGGCCACCGTTGTACATAGATTCCGATCTCGACAAATGTAGCTTTGTCATAAAAGCTTTCTTAACTATTATCACGGTTAGCCTCTAGCTGAAGAATGGGGCTACGGTAGTAGTGGGGAAGAGACCGGTTAGGCCTTTTCCATGCGGGGGAATTTCATTAACTTGCGGGGAAATACAAATGACGTCATACATCTCATTAAGAAGGATGATGGTATGGTTTATTTTTAGATGGCAAGGAGCAAGTGACGTCAGAATACCCTAAGGGTTGACGTCATCAAAAAATGTTGAGGTCATAATCTATAAATGGAAAAGTTATATTATGTCCCTACTTGGTCATGATGTCATATATATTCAGGTAAAATGATATCGTGGTTTATTTTTACCTGCCAGTTTTTTCTATTGTTTCGAAACACACTTAATCATTAAATTATGTTCACTAAAAGTCGATTGTAAACAAAACCAAGACACAGAGGTTAACTAAAAAATCTTTATTTCAAAAGAAGGGAAAAAAGGGGGTTAGGCGAATCGTACTGATTTTTCGGGAAAAACATGAAAACGAGGTCGAAGCGCAGCAAAGCGAAAAACTGCCTGTGATGCAAAAATGTCAAGCTTTGTTTACTTGACTCTCTAGAAAGTATTGTACGGGGTATAAAAATTCTATAGAAAGCAACAGGTGGTTCTAAAGTAAACCTTTACTCTTTTGGTTTTTTTATTGAACGTCTACTGCAAACCTCGACAAAATGCCACTTTAACCGGCCAGGAAATGCAAGTAGACGTTCAGTTAAAGGTATGTTAGCTATATTTTGACTTCTGGACTATTTTAGTTCATGGGAGATTCGACGACTCAACCCACTTTGTCCATGTTATTGACGCACCCTACGTCTGAGTCGCCTGTGCGACAACTTTTTTTTTCCTTTTTCTGACTTTGATACCTATCTAAATAATCACAAAACAGAGAATAGGAGCGGGCATCTCGTTTATTGATGCCCGCGTTCTAAAATAAAGAAAGAGAAATGGCACTGACTAGATATGTAAACTTTGAGACACCGAGAGAAAAGATTCTAATTTATCCTTAATACTAGTGTATCTAAAAGATAGTAATGCTCAGGCACATTCTGTTGATGCTGCCATTAGTTAGGCAGTGATCCATCTTCTTGCGTGAGACTTAGGTTAATGCTCCTATATTTCTGAAAATATTCACAAAATGTGCGGTGTTTCTGAAACTAAGACCACCCTTCCACCCCCCAGCCAAAAAAGATTCACATATGTCGAAGTATGAAGGTAAATTATAATCGTAGTAGGTCCAGTTTGTCAAATGCTATTCAGTGTGAGCATTTGACTTGTTTATTTAGTCAAAAGAGTTATTTTCATTGACATTGAGTTGCCATATAGGTGAATTCGATATATCGTTTTTTTGTTTGGGTGGTCGGGGGTATTATTATTGGCAATCATAATCATGCTGTATAAACTACAGTGAGGATTATCTTTGGGTCTGCTTTCATCTTTATAGAATATACATTATTTGTATCTTAAAAGAAATGACTCGTGAACGTGAAACAATATTAACCAGGTAAGTTCAGTAAGCATTACTGAATTTGTTGCATCTGCAGTGCTATGATAATATGCAATGGAGTGCTTTGGTTTAACATAAGTTAGGCCAAATATTGATGCCTTTTAGAATGATTTTACTTCACCTGTGAAATAGGTAGTAGAATTTTACGCTCTATTATTCCATTGTGTTCGTTTGTTTACTTGCAGCTATTTTGCACTAGTTGTTATATTCTCTGTTTCACATGTCAAGTAAAATCACTCTTTTTGAAATTTCTAACTTAAATAGTATTTCAGAAAGCAGTCTTTGGGTGTCACTTGTATCAAGAATAACAACCTGTTTTAATAAAAATGGTCATAAAAAGAAATAAAACTCTATGGCAATGGTGTTTTGTGTGGAATTTCCTCCTATCATTTACAAAAGTAATAATCCTTAGTCGTCAATAAAACCAATTAATTAGCAGTTCTCAGGTGTTACTAGTGACAAATACAACATGTTTTAATTAAAATTGTTAAAAAAACTCTGAAAATTAGAGTAAATTTTGGGAAAAATATACTGTCAATGATTACAATATAGGTAACAGAATTTTTAAACTAAACGAAAATGACAATGATTGTCCTATTTACATGTTGGAAAGTCACTATCAGTCTATGCAAAGAGCGTTGTTTATGATTTTACAGTGATTTGATTACTCCTTTGGCACTTTTGTCTTTCAATACAACTGTTGCTTCAACAGTAAGAAGAGGACAGTGATGTCATCATCATTAAGGTCTGCAAATTCTTTCTTGAAATCTTCATCCTGTTCTCTTTTAAGGATGGCGCACAGTTGTTTAATGTCTTCAGTTGTGTTAGGCCACCCTCGGAAACTTTGACGATTTTCCTGTCACTGTACATGACTTTTGAGTGACACTTGTTGCGGCTTAGATATGACTGAACATAGTTAATTCCGTCTGGTGGGAATTGCACTTTCAATTGTCGTATGTTGTCTGGAACATCATCCTGTCGAGTAATATTCAGTTTGTTGGCTTTAATCACAGCGCTGTATTTGGTCAAAGTTAAATAGTTTGCGCCACTGAATTCTTTGATGGCAACATTTGATATATTGTAACATTGGCCAGTTTCATTTTCCTTGTGTCTTGTTCCCACAAGACCAGACGAAGAGAACCAGTGTTATCTGTACACAAAGCTTCTTGTGTAGTTAAAGTTTTTCCACGAACATCCACAATTTCAGCAGTACCATTGAATAAAACACTGCCAGCAATGTTTACCAGGTCATTGTTTTTTTTCTCCTGAATTTCTTCTATTGAGCTGTCTACACGGTTTCTTCATCTATCTTCTGAAGGTCAAAATCCATCTCACTTTCATTGGAATCTTCAATTCTTGTTTTTTTGTTGAGAATCAATTCTTCCTTTTCGGTCTTCAGGTTTTTCTTTAGTTGGAATTTGTTTATCTTGACGGAACTTCATTCGGAACTTGCGCATGAGCATTGAATGCTTTTCTGGGGAGAAGCACACAGCGCGATATAGTTGAGAGTTCGCCTCTGGAAATTTAGCGAGAAATATTGATTCCTGTTTTGGCTTGTCTTTATAGGTGAGAAGTTATGTAAATAACTAACCATGCTTTGTCTTGAAATGGAAGGGCAAAATTATTAAGATTGAGTTATTACTGATGAGATCAAAAGAATATGAATCTCGGACGGAGATAATGTTGTGGCAATATTTTTAGTGAGTTGGATTGAGATATCACAAGTTGTATGAGGTCTTGACGGATTCCATAGAGTAATTTTAGTTTTAGTTTTCTATTTGCTGACGATACCAGTATAATACTTGCAAATAACAACTTCAAGGAACTCGAATATCTTGTTAATCACGAGCTTGGCAACGTCAACGAATGGCTAAAGGCCAACAAACTATCTTTGAACATAAAAAAATCTAACTTTGTGATCTTTCGTCCCCGGTAAAAGAATACGCCCTCCATACCTAGGATTAGAAGTCTTGACTCCGTGACTAACGACTACACAAACCTTGAAATGAAAGACTATGTACAATATCTTGGTTTAACGATTGATTCAAATCTTCCATGGAAATACCACATAGAATCGCATAATTAAGTAAAATCTCGCATTCTGATTGGTTAACGAAGCAAGGTATTTAGTGTGGAATTGCGAGTTGAAAACGAGGCTAAGCGATATTGTTTCGCATCTACGTAACAACTATCGTCAAATTCTAACACAACAACATGCAAAAAAGGTTTTCTACAATGTCATTTTAAAATGTTTTCAAAACCATTCATTGTCACTTTTTGAAGAGTTAAAAACAAACAAAAGCGTTTTTTAAAGTGAGCCGGAGGTTCTTCCTTGTTTTGAACTGAACTACAGATTCTCGAAGAGACATAAAACCTCTTTCACTCGCGACAACCAGAAAACAAGAAAATCCTGTGAACACGGCCCAGAAAATGACAATCCAAAGTTCAACCAAACAAAACGGAGAAGCGACAACGGAGGAAGTGCCGGGGTCGATTGTCCCATATACAGAAGAAGAAATAAATACCTTCAAAGAGGACATGGCCCCTGAAAACACGAAAAAGAGTACGCCGCTTGCAATCGTCCTGAATCGTGGTACTTAGAAAAGTACAAAACAGAGCTGAACTTGAACAGCATTTCTAAAACATTTCAAGGTACTTACCTTATGTCAATCGCGACGTTAAACATGTTAAACTTTCAGTGCTTTCGCTTGGACACTTGATTTCTTTCAGTTTTGCCGCCGAAGAGGTAAAAGGTGTAAATTATTTTCCTTCTCGAGCAAATGACCAATTTGAAAAAAGACGTTCTACATAAACGGCTTCTAAATTCAGTAAAATACCTCTATTTATCCTTACGATTAGTGTGAAGCTTGTTTACATGTAAAAAAGTTTGAAAACAAATGTGAAAACAAGCACAAGGTACAAAAAAAGTTGTCGAAGGTTCAAACGTGTACGACTGACCTTGCTTCCTATTCGCTAACGCAATGACAGTTCTGACAGTTGACTTTGAAATGGCTTTCTGGAGCGCGCGCTCAGGATAAAAACAAACAATAGATATTATTGCTGTTTTCTTTTTTTTTCTTCTGATTTTTATTCAATTATGCGATTCAAGGAAAATTCATTACCTGACTCGAGAATTCCATGTTAAATTGCACTTGAAAACCGATATCGCACTCATCGCTTCGCGATTCGTGCGATATCGGTTTTCGCGTGCAATTTAACGTGGAATTCCCTCGTCAGGTAATGAATTTTCCTATAGAATCTATCTGTCACAAAATCAGCAAGTCGATAGGATTTATAGCTAAGATTCGACACTATGTCCCGCGTCGTGTTTTACGTTCAGTTTACAACTCATTAATTGTCCCTTATTTAACTTGTGGTATTTGTGTTTGGGGAAACTGTGCCTTGACATTTCAAAGAAAGATCGTAACCCTACAAAAACGGGCCTTACGTCTCATTTACTTCAGGTCTAAGGAACACACCGTAGCCTTCTTTCTCAAATCGAATTGCTTTCCCCTACCTAGCCTATTTTTCAGAGATTGTATCTATTTATTGCATGATATCAACAGCACCAGTTAGTATACTCAATCAGTTTGTTAAAACAAGTCAGATTCATAACTAGCGACTCGCTTTATGTTCAGTTCTCTAGAACCGATAAAATATATGCCTTTTTCTCGAGAATAGGTGCCCAAATTTGGAACTCTATTCCTTATTCGATTAAAATTAAACGTTTGTCCTTTCGTAAAAAGATCAGGGTTGTCGTTAACATTTCGATTTGCCGGGTGAATACAACAAGTAGGCTGGGAATCAAACACCTAGGAGTTTCTTTTGGTTCTAATTTTCTTCTATTTTCCATTAAAAGTAGCCGGGGGCCACACTCATAGTAGCCGGGGGAAATCCCCGGCCCCCGGCTCGTAATAACAGCATTTAGGATAAAGGAATTATTACTAAATTTCTTGCGGTCAGAAGATGATTATGTCAAAGTGTTCCGTCTTATTAAGTTATTTAATACTTAAGGTTAGCATATCTTCGTAATCGTTATGTACTTGCCTTGTTTTTTGTTAGTTTATTCTATTTACTTCGTAGTAGTGTCTTTCCTGTTATTTAGTCCATCTATAGATAAACCTTGTATTTGTAATATGTCTCCAGCTCCCCCGCCTCGATTAGTTTATAAGCTATTCGCGGGTAGGAAAGTAATGTAATTAGTTATATTTCCAATTTTTCATAAAATTTGTTGTTGTTGTTGTTGTTGTTGTTAGTTGCTTGAGGATTTCATAATAACATCATCTTATGTATGTTTATTCCAAGACAGATTATTAACCATGTTTAAGTCGACAATCAATATAACTCACTGTACTGCATGAAATTTTGGCTAACATCTATGATCACATGCTACTGAAATTCAGGAAGGATAAAATTGCGGGTATGAGAAATATAAACTTTTTAATCAGGTTCAATCAGAAAGTGTGTCCTAAGTATTTCAAGATTAATTCTTATCTCAGTGTTATGTTGACAATAGAATGAATGGTAAAACTGGTAAACAACTTACCACTTGGATTATTCATACTTGGTTCACCGGAAAGGAAAATTGTTACTATTGGTTACTTTTGATGCCACATACATTCATTCATTTTTGTTTTTTAAAAAGGTTCTTAGTCCTTTCAAATAGTTGATTCAATCTTTGTTCCTCCTGTTGTCTGTATTTCAAGGAGTTATTTTTTTATACTTTTAAGTCTATCAAAAGTCGTTGGCTCTTCTACTACTTCAAGTGAAGACAATTTCTTAACTCTACTTAAACCTACATACGTGATGCCCACTGTTTGTTCAGACTTTCCTATATTTACCCATGCTTTTGGTAAAGTTAATCCGTGGCTCTTGTGGATTGTTAGGGCCCATGCAAGCTTAAGCGGTAGTTGTTCTCTCTCATGAAATGAATTGCCATTTTTTGTAGAAACTAGTCATAGGAGCTATAGCAATTAAAGAAGGAATTTCTTGAGATATTGAGGAGCCAATATAATTGTCAACCTTAACAATAACAGCAGCAGGCAGATCTGGAAGGATATGAAGGGTGGTATAAATGATATCTACTACTGTTCCAGTTGCACCATTACAAAGACCAACAGATGGCCATAAGTTCATTGTAAACATAACAAGGGCATTCTTTGAAATAAGTAGTGTTTGTTTTGACTCTTGTTGGACTTGAGGTGACAGAATCTCTTTGCTCCATAGTAGCATCATCAGATCGTGTGTACTCCACTTGCTCTCTTAGAGGAAACATTTACAGGTTCTCTGGACTCTTGGTTTGATAAACTTTGTGTTACTCTCTGAGCCTCTGAAGCACCTGTTGACTTACCAGTGGCTGGTAATACATCATAATCTCGCTCGAAATACTTCTTCACATGGGTTACCTTCCGGCGGTACTGCACACCATCAGCATCAACAAGAACACTATTACCATTCTTCTGAATAACTGTAAAGGGAGACTGTTTGTATGACGTTGACAGTTATTTCTCTTTCTCCTGCCTCAGCAACACCTTATCATCTTCTCGAATCTTTCACGGGTATTCCTTTGGCAGTCTGCAGACACCCTTCCCTTTTCTTTCGTCTCACTGTCGCGATCTCGAACCTCATCTTCGATGCTGAACTCTTGGAGATGGGGTAGTTTGGTCCTGATGCGTCTTCTAAATAATACTTCTGCCGGGATAACCGCAGTAGTAGAATGTGGAGAACCGCGATACATCATAACGAAGTTATCCATCTCTGATTTCCAGTTGCGACCCTCTGCTTGAGCGATACCCAGTCACTTCGGGATACTGCGGTTTTGCCTTTCTATTTCACCACTGGCTTGTGGCCTTTAAGGGTGTGGTTCTTCTATGTTCAATTCCGTTTTCCTCCAAGAACTTCGTAAAATCTTCATTGGTAAACTGCGGACAATTGTCGGTTCTTAAGGTCCTTAAGGACAAAGGAAGGCCATGAGTGACGAAAATCTTCTCAGAAGTAGTAGATTCAGTAAATTCCATCTCAAAGAATCGGCTGTAATAGTCCACCACAACAAAAACATAATCACCAGAAGGCAATGTACCCAATAGGTCAGCTGCTAGATGTTGCCATGGTGCTGTAGGCAATTCTGTACGTGTCATCGGCTCAGGTTTGGTTGGTTGTGAAACTAACTGACAACCATGAAAGGTCTTAAAAGCTCTCTCTACCTCTTTGTCGATGCCTGGCCACCACACTTTGGTACCCGAACGTTGCTTCATTGCTTCGATTCCTGGGAGACCTTCGTGTGCCAACTCTAGTACTTGACAACGAAGTTGCTTTGGTATCACAATCCGAGTTCCACGAAGAACAAGCTTTCCAGTCACACTTAATTCACCTCGCACAGGTAGGTACTCTTTGAACTCTAAGGCATACCATTTCCCATTCAAGAGACATCCTCGTCCACTTTTCAGCTCAGCATCATGTTCTGATTTTCTCTACATTTCACGAGTTGTCAGGGCAACTAGTGTCGATTCTTGGGCGACCCACTTCATATATTCTTCGGTTTGTTCTTGGTGTTCTGACGGTGGCAATATACTTAGGACCTGGAATATATTTCACTGTAAATCTGTAGGGTTGCATTCTGAGAAGCCATCTTTCGATCCTAACACAGGTCTTGGACTTAGGTGAGAAAATGCATTCTAGAGGGTTGTAGTCAGTCATTAGTTCAAACTCAGCACCATACAAATAGGCATGAAATCTTTCGCAGGCCCACAAAATGGCTAAGGCATCTGTCTCAGTCTGAGAATATCTGTGTTCTGTATCGGACTGGCTACGGCTTGCATGACTAATAACTCGTAGTTCTTCTCCTTGCTCCTGAACTAGCACAGCTCCAAAGCCTACAGGGCTTGGTTTGCGATCACCTTAGTTGGTGCATTCTTATCAAAGTATCCAAGTGTCTCTGCACTGGACAGTCGCTTCTTTAACTCATCAAATGATTGCTGTTGATCCGGCCCCCACACGAATGGTTCTCCACTTTTTGTAAGCTGGCGGAGGGGTGCAGATGCTGTGGTGTGGAATAAACCTTGCAGTGAAATTGACCAGACCAAGGAAGCTTCGTACTTACGCAGCATTCATTGGTTCACGGGCATCAACAACAACCTTTACTTTAACATCTGCTGCACCAATTCCACGTGCCGACAAAACATGACCCATGAACTCCAAATGTGACATCTTAAACTGACACTTGTCTCGGTTCAGTGTCAACCTCCTGCTGCTCAATACTCGGACCACATTCTCAAATCTTTTGTCATGTTCCTCTCCACTGGGTGCATGTACTATCATCAAGAATATTATATTATGAGCTCTGTCACACTCTTGCAGGACTTGGTGAAGTACATTCTGGTACACCTCAAGTGCAAAACTTATACCGAACATGAGTCGTTTGTACCGGTGAAGTCCCTTGTGTGTGCCAAATGTAGTGATATCCCTTGGTTCGGGCGACATTCTATCTGATGATAGGCGGAGGTAAGATCCAACTTGCTAAACAACTTGCTCTGGTTCAAATCTTGTAAAACTTCGTCAATGGTGAGTATTGGGAAACGCTCTCGTTTTCCTATCATGTTGGCTTGTCGCATGTCCACACACAAGGGAATATCACCTGAGGGCTTAGGCACCACTACCACTGGTGAGACCCTCGAGGCTGGTCCACTCACTTTTTCAACGTGTTCCACAAGTTCATCCAGTCTGGCACTCAGTTTATGACGCAAGTGGAAAGGAACCCGCCTAATTGGTTGCGCTACAGACTGTACCTCTGGGTCAATTCGGGACTTTTAGCTGGAAATCTTTCAGTTTACCAATACCTTCACAACATCACGGGAACTTTTAAAAAATACTGGCCTCCCCTTTTGCTCCATCCGTAGAAACCTCGAGTGAATTCACGTGAGCTCCCAGCTTCAAAACTCCTAGAGAAATTGCAGTTTCCCGTCCAAGGAGGGCGTGTCCCTCATTTTCAATGCCAAAAAATTCGACCCCACTTAACACTTTCTCTTCAACAGACACTTCTGTAGTAAACATGCCTACAACTTGTAGTGGGTGATTATTACCATATGCATACAACTTCTTTGAAGCCTTAGTCGACACACATGCAACCTTATATATGCTTTCAAATATTCCCATACATTACGGCCTATGACATTGAAACTAGCACCAGAATCAAAAATCATTGTTACTGGTAAACGTCCTATCTTCACAGGAAATTTCTCATCTCTTGAAACATTAGAATAATCTAAAATCACAATCATTACCCCGAGTACCTTCAGTTTCTACCTGCCTTACATGGTGAGCTGCACCTCCCTTCTTTCCGACGTCTGGCTTACGCGGCCCTCCAGCTCCACGACCACTTCTTTGCTTCTCCTTAGTTTTACACACAGCCTCAAAATGTCTTGATCCATTACACTTCCTGCACTTTTTCCTTCTCGCTGGACATTGACGATCGTTGGTTGTATGTCCCGTATATCCACAGCAAAAACACAATTGACTTTTCTTGCGCTCGCATCCCCTTTGTAATTCGACTTTCCGCTCGCACTATTCACTTCACTACGGACCTCACCACTTCCTCCTTCGATTGACCGTGCCTGTTTTTCAGATTCCTCCATAGAACGAGCAATTTCTCTTAATTGTGGCAGTGTCAAGTTTCGACCCTTCTGAAGTAACTTCCGACGGAGTGCGTGCGACAAGCATTTGCTAATCACTGGATCACGAATTTGCTCATCCACAGTTGCAGCGTCTCCGAATTCGTAGGTTTGGGCTTTTTGTCTCAGCCTAGTAACAAACTGGTCGACGGTTTCGATGACTTGCCAGATGACTTGTTTCACGAAAACAAAGCCTTTCATACGGAACATTCGGTTTGAAATAGTTTGAACAGTTTGAAATATTTATTCAAGGTCGCCTTTGCTTTCTGATAGCTATCTGATACTCCTTCTTCGGTCAACGTGAAATAAATTTCTTGCACATTTGATCCGGCAGTATGCAGCAATACAGCCTTCTTCTTCGACATTTTTGACTCCTTTCCCGTCGCAAACAATTCAAAAGTTCGAAGCCATCTTTCCAAGCGTGCGGATAAACTACCAGACCAGTTCCAAACGGTCGCCGCCGTTCATCCTTCTGATTGGGCAGAAAAACACAAACGTTTTCTGGCACCAATCAGAAGTCAGAACGGCGGCGACCGGTTTGGAACTGGTCTGGTAAGACATTGTCCCCAGTTAAAATTCAGTTACTTTGTCGGTAGTCGGTTAATATTTTCGATCTTCGTCGGTACTCGGTTAAACGTTTTGATTTTTGTCGGTTGTCGGAAAATCTCAGTTAATAAGTAAAAACGCTTGTTAATTATAATATTGTTTTACGTATTTCACCCAGTTTCAAGACATTGATCCCATTGTGTGCCAAATGAATATCATGAGTACTGATAAAATCACCAAAGCTTTTATTGTAAATGCAAACGTGATTTCCCTGTCGACTACAGGGCACAGTAAAAGGTAATTAATTAATTAATGGACTCTAGCCTTTTGGATACTTAAATTATTCTTAGTGAAAAACTGCAAGGGGTGACAGGCTGCACATCTAGCATTATTTACAAAGTTTTAATCTTTGCCTTAAAGAAGGACAGTGTTTTGCTGAGAACTGCCACCCCGCCCCCACCCCTTAGGTTTTTCTTGGATTTTTCCAAGAGTATAAAACATCATCACCTGACGTTTTCAGTAGCTGTTCCTTTATCCGAGGGTTAAGTGGTTCTTTAAAAATTTGGCAATGCAGTGTTTGGTTTTGTATGAGATTACACTTTTTCGTTAACGCTTCCTTCATAATAGACACTAAGGGCTGGTATTGTGTCACGAAAGGCAATATTTCTTTTGTTCCTTGTTGTTTTGTTTCTGGAGCGCTGCTTTCCCTCTGTGAGTTTTACTGCTAATAGCAATTTTTCTTTCTAAATTGTGTGGCCAAAAATTGAGGGTCAAACATCTGACTGGTTAAGTGTTACATCTGGTGTGCCCCAAGGCAGTATACCTGGGCCTTTGCTGTTCCTTGCATACATCAACGATCTTCCTTACTCAGATCAGTAACCTGCAACTCAGATTTGTTTGCTGACGATACTGTCCTTCATCGACACGTAGAAAATAGATCGGATTGCGATCTACTTCAAGAGGAATTGACATCTGCCTCTGAATGGTGCAAGAGTTGGCTTGTTACTCTTGAGACCGAGAAGTGTGAAGTCCTACATTACACGGAAGAAAGATCCAATAAGATGTCAATGTTCGTTGAATAACATCTTACTACCGGACGTGGACCACCACAAACACCTGGGACTTTGGTTGGAGTCGTTTTTATCATGGGATTATGGCATTAACTCAATTTGTGCTAAAGCTAACAAGGTGTTGGGCTTGATTAAAAGGACATTTGGTTATTCAAACAAGACTGGTATCAAGACAGCTTTCAAGGCGCTAGTGATACCTGTCCTCGAATACGCCTGCCCAGTCTGGAACCCTTATCTGGTGAAGCATACCAAGGCAATCGAAGCAATTCAGAGAAGAGCGTCCCGACTAATATGTGGCCCCGACAAAGAATATCCTGAAAGACTTCTAGAGTTAAAATTGGACTCTTTAGAACTGAGAAGGAAATGTCTTAGCCTAGTTCAAATGTATAAGATTATATTTGGTTACTGTGATATCAATTACCATCATTCCTTTGATATTATTGGAATAACTCGAACTAGAAGTAAGCATGAGTATAAAATAAGTCCTAAAGTTGCCCGTACAAATTATTTTAAATATTCATTTTTTCATAGATATATTAATGATTGGAACTCTTTGCCTTCTGAAGTAATAGGGAACTTAAGAACCGTGACGAAGTTCACGACGACGACGTCTGTTGACTGTGAAAAGATTGCAACGAGAACGTCATTTTCGGCGGGAAAAAGAATACTTAAGATGCTGTCGGTCGGTAGTCGACGACGACGCCACTGAATGTAAACACAAATGTAAAACTGTGATGTTCGGTCGCAACAAAGTTTTTAGCAATGGCGTCTTTTAAAACAAAGCAAGATCTTATTTTTTAAGCGGTACGTCTAATTTCATTGACGATGAATAATTTTTTGCGTTGTCTGACCTTTTCGAGAGGAAAAACACCTGCTTTCCGTACGAAGATTATTCAACTTTCAACCGGAGTGAGATCAGGACCGAGTTCGAGTGTCTGAAAAAGAGACATTCTGATGTGATAGCTGTTTTCCATATAAAGTTTATTTCCTCTATATTAAATATATATGATCTGCCTTACCTAAATACGCACAAATAAATTTATGACTTACGAGTTCGCTCGCTCGGCCTCCAGAGCTGTTGTCGTTTTTCGAAGTAAAAACAATTCATTAGTCGAATTTTCAATCAACATAGCTTGTTAGGAGAAAAAAGGAACGATACCTGGATTTACGAGGATAAGAAAATGCAAAGGACTTCAAAAATCGCCTAAAATAGTGAATTTATACCTGTCGAAGCTTGTGGATTGCAGGACGACGTGATTCTACTTTGTTTGGCGTCGTCGACGAAATTTACTGGTCGCGCTTGCGCAGTACACTGTAACTCACTTCCGGTCGTCGTCGACAAAGTCGTCGTTGTGGTTCTTAAGTTCCCTAATGTCATCTCCTAGCCTTCAGTCTTTTAAAGTTTGACTGATTAAGTACTTTCGCTCATAATTTACCTTAAAATACTAGGCATAGTGTCCTTAATATAAGTTTATGCATTATTATTAAGCATCTAGGTTTATAACTTATAGTCTAATTTATAGTGTTTTAATATATGTTTATCTATTAATTAATTAATTTTTTTTCCTTTTTTCTTTTTTGGAGGGTATGTCTTAGCATGGGAATTTGGTTTCCCCCTACTACCGTCCTGTTAACCATTTTTGTATTTTTGTTCGATTGTATATGTTAGTATTAGTTCATTTGCATCAGTTATGTATGGTTACGAACTGTGATTAAAGATTAAAGATTAAAGCCTCTGTCCATCAAACGCTTTTTGAAATCTGAAATACTAGCCTCCTCAGAGAAGTTTCTTCGTAGGATTCTCAAGGCTTCTTGTTTGTCAAATCCATTTTAACAATTGGTGGGTAATAAGAGGTGAAAATGTATATACAGGAAGGTTTCTGTTTAAAATGCGTCTTTACGTCAATGATAGCTTTTTCTCATTTTTCGTTGAATGTTGTGCCTTGGTGCACAACCGTGTCTAGAAAGATTGTCTTAGTGTCACATATTTCGGCCGTGAATTTAATAGCCAGTAGAGCAGCAGGGTGAAGTAAGTTTACTTGTTCCGTGAATTTGAAGAAATCTACCATGTCTGGGCCAAAAATGTCATCTATGTAGCGTTTCAAACAGTTGGTTTAAAGACGGTTTTGCCTAAACTTTGTGTTTCAATATATGCGGCCATGAAAATGTTGGAAAGGAAACTGCTGGATGTGCTAATAACGGTACCGTGGGTTTTTACTGATAGTGCTTTCCATTAAACTGGAAAGAATTTTCTTTGAGGGTTAATCTAAGCAGTTCTCGGACTAGCCTAAGAAAACATCCGTTTCTCCTCGCTCTTCGCCGATGGGGACGTTTCGCGCGAAGAGAGAGGAGAAACGGATGTTTTCGCAGGCTATTCTCGGACCGAAACAAGAAACGTTCGGTTTTTTCACCTTCTTTTCAATAAAATTTATAAGGTCGGTAGCATCTTTAAGGTGTGGCTTCTGTGATTATGATATTGGTTGTAGTAATGTACCAGTATCAACAAAAGAGGAAGTTCTTTCTGTTAGACCATCTGATGAGTCATAAATTTAAAGAAGTTACTTCCTAACGGCTACAAAAAAAAGGTGATCCCGCTCCTATTTGATAGATTGTTTGTGATTAGTTGGGAAAACAATAGGGATTGTCACATAACAATGCCCCAACCCTGAAAACAATGGAAGTGAAAATTAACGGGGCCTATGAAATAAGAGGTTTAGAACGGTGCAAGTCTACGGGAAAAAAATGCAAAATGCTCTTTTTCCTGAAAACAATTAATATTGATAATGTCACGGGCGGCCCAGACGTAGTATGTGTCACTGAATGAATATATTGATATTTACATGGACAAATTAATGCGATGAGTCGTCGAAGCTCCCATGAACTAAAATAGTCCAAAAGTCAAAATATAACAAAACAAAGCTAAGATACCTTCAACTGAACGTATCCTTGTCTTTCCTGGCCGGTTTAAGTGGCATTTTGTTGAGTTTTGCAATTGTAGGTACTATCTGCTAAAGAAGAATTAAAGGCTGGCTACAAAACAAACGGACGATCTCCACGCGCCTTCACACGAAGCGCTATAAATTCGAGAATAATCGACGAATCCGCTCCAAATTGCCATCGGCTAATCTGCAGGTAACGTGTGCTCCTGCTTCTTGCTCGCTGGCTCCACAAAACCCATCGCAACTGCACAATAATTGCTCGCTCATCAACAACCACTGTTGACCTTTACGCTTCGATATGACCGCGAACTACCAGGTATAATACGCGACGTGAATATTCAAGCTTAGCGACCGCGTTCGCGCAACAGTGCAGCACTTGCTATGGGAGGGATGGTACTATTGCTTCTAGGTCGATCGACACTGACCGAAGGTTCGCTGCGTTAGTTTTGACCAGAAAACAAAAGGCGATCGCGCGACCGTCCGTAAGTTTTCAACAGGGCGGCCCTGGTTTTCAAGTTCGAATTCTTCTAACGTTCGCTGTCACAGCTGCTGTCACATTGTTCGTCCAGCCGCTTGCATAGGTTCTCGACTCTACTAGACC